AAAAAACTCTATCATGGGTTACAAAAAAAGCAAAAAACAAAAAATTCAATCATGGATTACAAAAAAAAAAAAACATTTCGATCATGGATTACAAAAAAAAACAAACATTTCGATCAAGTATTACAAAACATTCGATCATGGATTACAAAAAATTCTATCATGGGTTACAAAAAAACAAAAAATTCGATCATGGATTACAAAAAAACAAAAACAATTCGATCATGGAGTACAAAAAAATCGATCAAGATTACAAAAAAATCTATCATGGATTATAAAAAAAAATAAATAAAAATAAATAAATAAATAAAAATAAATAAATAAAAATAAAAATAAAAATAAATAAATAAATAAAAATAAAAATAAAAATAAATAAATAAATAAATAAATTCCGTACGGGACTCGCCGATTCACTGTTCGAACTTGCCGATTCTGTACCGTGAATCGGCGAGTCACTGTGCCAATACGATCCACTTTTTACGATTTTCGAATCGAACCGACTCGACGTTTTTTAAAACACTGATCAAGATATTACTCTCTTTGGTCTTGAAAAACATCACACGGTCTTGAAAAACATCACACGGGTCATTGTAATGGTAACAACCCAAGGACGCTATAACTTTAATTGCATAACGCCATATTCTAAACACGGACAGGACACGGTTTTTATAAGTGAGCCGACAAATATATAGACACGCTGTACTCTAAAAGTTAAACTACTAGTCCCTCAAAAGCATGTAGTTTGTATAAGGCCGAGGCCCTAAACAATCAAAGTAAGACTCACCTTCAATTAGAATCGAAAGAGTTGTTTCAATATTAAAAATCATTATGATGGCCTAAAATTTAATTTCATATCTAACTATAAAATTTAAAGCTTAAAAAATAGTGTTGATCATACAGATCTATGAACACTTGAAAATCTTGGATATTGACAGTCAGAAAATACATTATAAGATGCACTATTTTCAATGCTTGAAATCTAGTTTTTCTCATGTGCATGCATCTTGAGGTCAAGGTGATCAATTTGAAAATTTTTGGGTATTGAAACAACCTCTCCTAGTGAAATTTTTGAGGTGTTAATTTGATTATTTAGGGCCTCACCCTTACATAAACTTTTTCCTCTCATAAAAGCAAATAAAAGGAATCATCCTGAAGGCTTCATGACAATGGAATCTTAACATCTACGAAAGCTTTTTAAAGTTTGGGTCTAGGAAAAAGAATGTAACCATCTTCTCTCCTTTAATGCCACTTTATTCGTCCAATACATAAATTCTTCATTGCTAAGCAACTGTCGATGAATTTATACATGAAGCTCCGATTTCGACGACAAAGGGCAGTCCAGTTTGAAGATCTAATGCAGAGCATGGGAGATTATCAACCATGGAAAAAAAAACAGCTCTCTCTCTCTAACTGTTTGATTGCAATGGTATGAGGGAAAAGGTGGAGGTTGTCTATATGGAGGATAGATTGCTATGCTTGTGATGGTATGAGGCATAGCACTGCCCTTCCAACTCCTCTCCGATGTCACATTGGGTGACCTCCATAAAAATCATATTTGCGGCTTCGGTAATCGCGATCAGCTTCTTGAAAAGTAAGAAACTCTCAATCTCTCTGAATTTTTACTGAAACGCTTGGTCAGAGATCAGCTTCTCAAAATGTATGAAGTTGTTCTCTCTCTCTCTCTGGATTATGCCTAGGGGCCTTAGCATGTTAATGTTTGTTATCTGTTCCTAAAATGATACTTTCCAATCTTTACCAAAATGATAAAAAGCATAAAAATAAATAAATATATTATTTATTTTTATATTGTTTAATATCCTCAAATGCGCACCCAATGAGTATATTTACAAGTCGAATCCCACGTGTTGTGATCCGCCCAACCACATACAATACGCAATCAAACTCATAGTCGTTGAACTTATACTTTTGCAGGTCTCCAATTAAAATGTGATTATTCAAAATCTTTTATTTTTTAAATTTGTTGAAAACTTTCTCTTTCAAAAATTTTTTTTTAAAAAAATCCCATTTTTTATGAAATAAATATAAATGTTGATTTTATATTTTCCTTAAATTAACTTATAGAAAAACTCGTTTCATGTAACTTTCTCCAAACTTCTCTTCTCTTCATTGATTTTATATTTTAAATCTTGGTTTTGAGATATGCATTGCAAAGTGGGATTAAACTAAGTATCTTGATTTGCCAAAAATTCCATAAAAATATGTTGGTGTGCAATAAAAGAATACATTGCTAATATGTTCCCTAAAAAAACCTCTTAAAACAAACATATCATCAAAATATTAGGTAAAATTGAGGAAGAGTAACCCAATGAAAAATCTTCAAATTATTTAAACTTAGAATATCATTATTAAGAAGAAAAAAGAGATTCAGTCATAACTTAACATATTGTTCACTACAATTAAGTATTTTGTCGCTTTCTTTATTTTAACGTAGCATTAATATTCAGGGTAAGCTTTCGATGCTTCTCCTACAGCATAGAAGTTCTATCCTCCCCCTTATCCAACCGTCCATTCTGAATGGAGGGCTAAGATTGCCCCAATCATAATGTCACATCTATACACTATTTTATTTTTAATATTTTTTTTATAAACTATTTTGGCACCAAATTTTGGACTTCCATTCCTCTGTTAAACTCGCACTACCGAAAAATATAAAACAAATATTTCAAATAAAATAAAATGATCAAAATACCCCTGAAAATTTCAAGAGGTATTTTGGTCATTATATTTTATCGAAAAATTATTTTTAATATTTTTTATAGGTACGCGCCCCAATGAGAAGATGACAAGTACCAAATTTCATATTCATACAATTTGTATAAAAATAAAATACTTTGAGACGTCGGATCTAAGATCAAACGGTGAGTTGCTCTCTTGATCAAAATTGAACGATTGGATGGTAGGGGGAAGATAGAACTTCTATATTACAGGGGAAGTATAGAAACCTTTCCCTAATGTTATTAGACACTGACATGAATGTTTGTGTGATACTTCATCCAAAACATCCGATATGATAAGATTTGTTCTTATGGATTTATTTTCTACTGAAAACTTGTACATATAGTATAATTTAGTTACTTTAAAATAAGGTAGATAAATTTATGATTTTCATGAGTCAATTGAATTGTACAATACATGTGAATAAAAAAAAAAATCTTATTATAGGAAAATTAATAAAAAATGCACATTTCACTCATTCTTTTGTCAAAATACACATGATTAAGAGTTGAAATAGATGAAAAATATGCAAATTATTAAATAATTGATGGGCGTATTTTAGAACTTTTCCTTTATTATATACATTTGAAAGTGTTGGTTAACGTAATCCTCAAGGGTTGGATTGCCATGAGAGGGGCAGCTAGCTCTATTGTTGTAAATATCACACACACAGAAAAATTTACCAATAGATTGTCACTTAAAATGAATAGTAATTTAGATTAGTCTTAATCACATGATGAATAATATATTTAATATTTTAATTTGAATTTTTTCTAAAAGCCAAATCAACTTGAAATTTTAAGTATATATATAACTAGAAATGCTCATCTTATAAAAATAGCAAAAAAGTAGTTTGGATAGTATAAATTAACCAAAATGTTGTTGGGTTTATGTGGCCTTATGAGAGCTTGTATACTCATTTTATATACTGAAACATAAACTTAGTAGGAGTGTGGTCATTTTGTAGACCATATTAGGCAAATGCTATTTGCTGATACTCGGACTAGGCTCAACGAGCTAGGCCAGCCGATGTTTGGAAAAACCCAAGATATCTGGGCATAGGGATCTACCGAGAAGGGTTTCGTGGGTTATCCTTTGATGAGGTCGGAGTATGCCCAAATGAGAGCCAAGAGACTGTGTGGCCCTTGCATGTGATAAATAACCTTTAGAGACATGGCAAGAACCTCATCGTTAGATCATCACACGGTAAGTACATAGGATAGTCATTTTGAGATTTACCAATGAGGGTGAAGCATGTACATGTGCGAGAGATTACCCCTATGCACCATAGAGTCATGGTTGCATCATAGTCTGGAGGACCATGATTTTTGTCTCTAGGGGAGAACTTGAAATCCATAAATTGAGATTGCATCCCCTAGTCTATTGGCTAGCTTTGATAGTCCAATCATGAACCCCTGCAGTTGACTGTGGGTCATGAAAACTGTTGGGTCAGTTTGAGAAAGCTAGGCAGATCGTGATTCACAGTTGAAGGTGGAGTGCTTGCATGTATTGATAATTTCTTAGATCTAACGGATCCGATTCCCATCAAAATTAATTAATTTTAATTATATTATGTGATTTTTAGAATGTTTATTTGAATTTTTGTGAATCTTCTGATATTTTATTTTTGTCATTTGAATTTATAAATTAAGAAAATTTAATTTTTAAATATTTTAAATAAAATATAAGATTTTAAAAAATTAAATTAAATTAAATATGAAATAAAATATTTGGGATCTTCATAAAATATGGGCCCAAAATTTAAAAGGATGTAGATTAGGTGGGGCCACACATGGCCATCAAAAGGGGGGCACGCCTCCACCCATCCATGTAACATATTGAGAAGGATGTTTATCCTCTTGGTTCGCTTATATAACTTATATGATAAGGTTGAATATTTGAGAATCAAGATTGATTTATCAAACAAATAAGGATTTTTAATATAAACTTTCCTTATTTGATGAAAATAGATTTAAGAAAGGAAAGATAAGGGCTCTAGCTCATGTTTTTGAATCTTGATGGTAGATTAAAGAGATTGATGACTCAAATCTCTCACCCCACAAGTCTCCTTAGATCGACGGTTGATATTTGACTATACGAATTGAGGAAAAATCTATGACATAGAAAATCTATAAAAGGAGGTGTTTCCTCATAAATACGTATTATCTTTTATCGCTTTAACAATTCTCTCTCTACCCAAAATCCCCCTATCTTTCAAAGGGGAGGCATGCCTTAATTTTATCTCTCTCTAAGTTGCACTATGTTTTGGTGGCATGTACCACCTTTATTCTTTATGGGTGGCAAGCTAAGAGGCTTGATGAAGATTAAGCCATTAAGTTTATTCTTTGTGGGTGGCAAGCTAAGAGGCTTGATGAAGTTTAACTCATTAAGTGGATTTTTACCATAGTAAGGAAATCAATATACCGATCATAGATCCCGAGCCCCATCGGAAGGAGGAGACTCAGCGTGGGTGTATTATGCCCGGTTGAGGTAATCTCCGGTAATTTTATTTTTTAAAATATTTACTTCACTTCCAATAAAGCAATAAATTCTAGTTTTGTTTTTTGAATAAAGAATTGTATTTGAAGAGGTAGGAATTGAGAACGGATTTTATTTTTATTTTATTTATTTTAAGAGTGGTTTGATTATAATTGGACATTATAAGTGATCTTGCCGGTGTAGGGGTAAAGAATTTTTTTAAATATATATACATCGTGCTTTATTATAAAGTCTTTTCAAATGGCATTAGAATATTTTGAGGTATTTTGGTTAATTTTTTTTAAAAAAATATTTCTTTTGCTAATTATATAAGATGGGCCTTGTTTAGAGCTATACGCGCTTAAAAATTGTGTTGATTCAAATTTATAAAAATTTAAAATTAAAATACAAAATATATTATATATTGTATTCTTGTGATTTGTCTTTACAAAACTGTTCTCGTGCTTGTAGGGTTTACAATGGAGGCCATGAGCTCATTAATCTTAGTCTAATTTTGATTTTTGGTGTGTCTAGAGGTGTCAACAAGCCATGCAGAAAAGAACATCAACACTTTTAGGTAACACTTTATATATGTTTTTACCTCATATATTTTCTTTCTATTTTTAATTAATTTTACGGCATTTTAGTGGATTGTACCATCAAAGGGGAAGAAATATGTGTATACTTTGCTCACTCGTGAGCATACTATATATTTAGTCCCTTAGGCAAAACCCTAACATAGGAGATTCTTTTTCTTTTCCTTTTTTGAAATTTTGTGATCCATCTAATTATAACTCTATTATTGTTAAACATCAAGGTCAATCCCTCGAAGATGCGATGGTTCAGTGCAATCTCATGAAGCCTTTTTTTTTTAGGCTCTCGTTTGTATAGAGCCTAGGCTCTAAACAATCAAATTAGATCTTAAAATGTGGTTTCAATGCTAGAAATTTTTATGATAGCCTTAAAATATATTTTCATCTTTATTTATAAAGTTTAAAGCTCTAAAAACATTGTTGATCGACAGATTTATGAAAACTTAAAAATTGACAGTCCAAAAATACGTTACAAAATACACTATTTCCAAAACTACAAATCCATTTTTTCTCATATCAATACATCTTGATGTTGAGATGATCAATTTGAGGATATTTGGGCATCAAAACAACAAATTTTTTAGGCAGGCTCTAAGTTAATTGTTTGATGTTGAGATGATCAATTTGAGGATATTTGAGCATCAAAACAACAAATTTTTGAGGCAGGCTCTAAGTTGATTGTTTAGAGCCTCGGTTATATATAAACTTTTCCTTTTTTTTTATGTACATAGAAGTGAGAGATATTATTACTATTATTATTATTTTTTGAGATTGGTTGTTGGGTTCTAGAGATCAAATCCTAAAATTTAGAATCTAATGGATATTTCTAGCGGAAGTTTTCCCTAAGAGAGTAGATAAATAGTATACTACAGAAGGAGTAGGAATCATTTTGTCAAAAAGATTGGGTCACGAGACTCACGACCAAAATGGGCTAGGCAGAAGACTGAAATTTCTCCGATAAATTTTGAACAGAAGACCGAAACTTTCCAAGTCAAGGTGCTCTCTCACACGTGCGAGTTAGCTAGATGCTCTCCAGCATGTGCGAGTTGGTGGGGAAGCCCAAGCAGGATTGTTTTTTATGAGGCTGCGGCATCAATCCAATTACGGCGCACCTCCAAATTTTATCATAACACCTAATTTAGGTGTAAAAATTCTTAGGATTATCTGAAAGCATAAGTTTGCATACAGATGCATCTGTAGGTATAGAGGTAAGGTGCACCTTCAAATTTTATCTTGGTATATAATTTTGATCGGTTTGCATACAGATGCATCTGTA